TGGAAACCAGAGTCCCAGCAGAGAGGGGGGCTAACAAAAATGTCCCTTTGTATCAACATTTTTACATAAACACAACTGTATGCACAGCCATTGGGGACAACTGGGGGCTTGCCATCCACAGATGCTGGAATCTGTGGATGAAAAGTTTGCAGATATGGAGGCCCACTGTAACACTAGTCCTGAAATTTGCTACTTAGCAAAATTCAAAAAGTTGGTGTTGACCTACAAAGCCCTAAATAACTTGATATCAAGATACCTAAAAAACCACCTTTTCCCATAGAAGGCTGCCAAAAATTTGAGATCTTCAGAGGAGGCCCTCTTGCATGTCCCAACACCTCGTGAAGTTAGGTTAGTGGGTACATGTAACAGCATTCTCTGTGCACCGCCTCAACAGTGAAAGTCCCTACCCAAGAAAGTTACTGGCCCTATCTCTTTTAAGTAGCCAGCAATCAGCCAAAAGAGTGTTCGATGTTTGAAATTGCTGTTTTAACTGTTTGAAATTGGATTCTAGGATTGTTTTTAGACAATTTCTAGGAGTTTTAAAAGAGTATTTTAATGTGTTTTAAAATGTTTTTATCTTTGTATTGTTTTAATTTGTTTTTATTTGTTCACTGCCTTGGGAGCTCTTATGGGCTAGGAGGCAATAGAAAAATACTTCAAATAAATAAATAAATAAATAAATAAATAAGGTAGCCAAGGAGAAAATTCTGTTTACCCTTATGCATATTCTTGGGCCAACTGTGGGCAACCTATTTGAAATCCATGTCACTTTTGCAGCTGTTCCCCCATAAGTCTCTTCCGCTCTACTTCCTCATTAATCAACTATCTTCATCCAATCTTTCTCAATATATGAATGTTTAAATGAACTGATATTATTATTATTACAATTTATTTATATAGCACTGTAGATTTACACAGTGCTGGACATACAGTCAATAAAACAGATAAAAATAGATTTTAAAAAAGCCTGCTGATGGCATACATTCTACAAAATAATAAAATAAGATCATATTAATACAAAGAAGGCAACAAGTTAAAAACATCAAATAATCATCATGCAATGCCTGGGAATGCTTCTCTGAACAGTATAGTCTTTAACTCAGCTTTGAAGCTGGTTAAAGAAGTGATACCCCATGCTCGTGGAGGAAGGAGGTTCCAGGAATGAGGGGCAGCAAGTGAAAAGGGATGAATCCGGGATGACAGAAAAAATCCTAGCCTGAGACAGCAGACCTTGACTACCAGAATGGAGTGCACAGGTGCGACAGTAAGGGGAAAGAAGCTCTGATAAATAAGGAGGGGCCAACCCATGTAGGGCTTTAACAGTCAATAACAGAAGCTTATACTGAATACTTATTGAGTCAAGAATTGCACTGAAATATTCAGAAAGTACAAAATCCAATGAATAACGATGGGCCTTTGCAGACTGCCAGAAATAGTGCAAATTGAGTCCACTTTAACTGCTCTGACTCAGTGCTAGGAAATCATGGGAACTGTAGTTTCTTGTGGCACCAGAGCTCTCTGACAGAGAAGTCTCAATGTCTCAGAAAAATATACAATTCCCATGATTCCCTAGCACTGAGTCAGGGCAGTTAAAGTGGACTCAATTTTGCACTATTTCAGGAAGTCTGCAAAGGACCTAAGTTCCATACAGCGTATTACCCCACCCCACCCCCATGGAGACCAGGTCATTTCATAACACAGTTTGCAAAGTATGAATTACTGAAGCATCCCTTTTCCCTTCCTGCTTCTAAACAGGTGACCAGAATGTAAAGAAGGAGGGAAAGGAAGAGGGTGGGAAACCATTACCTACTACTTTCTAGCTGTACTGTGGCAACCAGATGAAACCAAAGCTTACGGGTTTGTGTCAGCTGCAGGGGTCACCAAGGAAGTTCCTTCCATGCTGTCATCCAGTTGACTATCATCACTTTTCCAGATCCCCAACAATAAGTATATTGCCAGAGCTTTACACACTACCAAAATGAAATAGGATGCTTGGCCTCCCATCTTTTAGTTCTTTGTTATTTTTGTTGAGCATTTTGTTTGTTTCTAAATGGTATGTGCTTCTAACTTCTGTTCTTGTTTTAAATAGTTCGATAATTTAACCACTTTTTAAGTTTTGTATTCTATGACTTTTTAACTATGTGGTGAGGTTTTTTTTTTAATTTGTTATAAGCTGCCTTGAGCCCTGAGCTGGGAAAACAGTGGGATATTGGTTTGAGTCCTGGACTACAACTCCGGAGATCAGGGTTCAATTCCCTGCTTGGCCACAGAAACCTATTGGTTGATCTTGGGTGAGACACATATTCTCAGCCCAAGAAAACACCACTATAAGTTTGCCTTATGGTCACCATATGTTGGAAGTGACTTGATATCAATGTATCATCATCATCACATTGTTTAGAAAATAATGAAATCAACACCTTGTTCTCCCTAATGAAGATGCTGGACATTTCCTATTTATTTGGTACAATAGCACCTGAAGAAGAACAGTTAAAGATGTCGTATAATACTGGACACCTGCAACATTATTCTTATGAACATAGTGAAAATCCTTGATTTCATGGGCTTGGCAGTCATCTAGCTATTCAATGACCTCATACACATTTTACTAGATATGTGTGGATTCTTTCTTATCATGTTCAGCCCAATTTTATCAATCATACTGACAACAATGTCTTACTTTTATTATAATATCCTTCATATTATGTAATCCATTGCACATTTATATGTCAATGTGATATATGTGCTTTAATATCCTGTGCCTTGGAGCATTATTTTTCTATTATTGTATATTAAATGTTGCATTATATATAGCAGTGCATTTATATTTATCTACACAACATTTGTGTCCCAGAGAACTTTACAGTCTATAGTAATTGAAAGCAGCAAGGAAGGAATGTTGTGCCTGATGGTACATTTGGCCTGGAGGGAGTGTGACTGGAACACCGAAAAAGGCAGTGGAAGTATAGGCAAGAGTTTGGGCCCACAGAAAGAAATGGAAGATGACAGAATAATTGTAGTATCATTAAACATCATACAGCTCTAATGTTGCAAAGTGGGGGATTTCAGTTGGGAGCAGATCCTCTGTTGTTCATATATAACTGTATGAGCTACTGGTTTGGCCCATGAGGTGTAGAAAACTAAAAGGAGGGGCTGTACTTGCTGGCTGAGTTCAGAAAGAGAGTGATTGTTGGTTCTGGAGGGGAACTGCAATTGCTATTTTCACCTTAAATAAGGTAGTGACATTTTCAGTTGTGGATTTAGGAGGGACCAAAATAGCAAATTGTTTGTAGTACAATTTCTATATTGAATTTGCTTCTATTTTGTTTGTTTGTTTAATTTAGGACTTTAAGGTTACACCTAAATGTTGCATTAATATTGAGCAGCACAGGCAGGGGAGTTCTGAAATCAAATCCTGGAATGGCATATTATTGGATGCATGTGACTTTGCATTGTTCTTAAAATATATATTGAGATTTAAAATACAATTGTGCTTGCAACATTCAATTATAGTTGGCCCCATAGATCCCTGAAAGAGATAGAGGTAACCTCCAACTGTCCCAGTGTGGCAGGAACAGTCTTATTATTCCTCTGCCATCCAGTTTAATGCTACTTTTAAAATGTCCAAATTTCTCTCTCATCTTCCCATTTTTCCTCTTTATCCTCAGCTTACTTCAGTTGCTGCAAAATAAGTTCAAAGTACAAAAACATTTTGTACTTGGTTAACTCAACAGAGGAAAGAGGAGAGTAGGGGGCTAATTCTTGCCCTTCCCAGTAGACACAGGCAAAACAAACTGCTGAGTTCTCTCCTAGCTTATCTATCCATCTTGACCACACTCTGATGTTGCTTGGCCACATGTGGCATGATTTTCATCTGTGAAATGTTGGAGGGGAGGGTTGTGGTGTTTCCTTTGGCTGTGAACTGTATCAACTTGAATGGTGCAGAAATAGCCTGTTGCAATTATAGCTGTGCACAAACATCTTCTGGAAATTTTCAAGGATCTTTGTGGGAAGAAAAATGTAGGGAAGAGGGACAATTTCACCACGTTCCTTCAGAAGGAATAGAAATTCAACAATTTCTCAGAGATTGTGCTTAATATTTTCAAGGGGTTACAGCACAGCTTCTTTATTTATTTCTAAGAGGTTCTCTTTTGGGGCTGCCAATGCAGTCTGGCTATCATTTTGCATCCTTTATAAGACCCTGTAACTAGCAATGCTCTAGGATATTGTGCACGGTGGTAGGTGGAGGCAGGATGGAAGGGAGCCAGCACACGCACAAAAAGGTGGAGAAAATCTTTTAGTTCTAAGACATGGGCAAGCCATTGCACCATAGGGTAAGGACCATTTTTTGGCCTCCCAACAGATCCTCATGCCTCTTCTGGATCACATTATTATTATTATTATTATTATTATTATTATTATTATTATTATTATTATTATTATTATTATTATTATTATTATTATTATTATTATGAAGTATTTATACCCTGCTCTTCAGCCAAAAGGCTATCAGAGCGGCTTACAAATGGTTAATTAGACATTTCCCTGCCCTCAGGCTTACTATCTAAAAAGACTAGACACAAAAGGAGAAGGGAATGGTGGTGGGGAAGGGGAATAAGTCCAGCAGATCTTCTGTCCCTCTAAAGCCTGGACCAAGGCAGATGGACTGGATGGAGGGCCCTTCTTCTTACTGTGGCTAGGCTCGATGGAGCTGGCCTGCCTTCTCTCCCTGTGTGGCAGAATGTGGAGAATATTCAAAGAAAATGTGAAATAGTCTACTTTTTTCTTGTAAAAATAAGAGAGCTCACTATATTAAAGGAAGTGTTATTTGTGAAGTTTTGCTTCTCAGAAAGTCTTTTCCCCCCAAAAATGCTCATTTAAAGGAAGTCTCTGCTGGCATGTAAGGCACCATTTAAAAGCTCAGTTTCACAGCTTTTCAGTTTCAGAACTTACTTAAAGAGCTGGGCTATTCACTGTGAGGTCAGATTGCGTTTCCAGGTCACTGTGGCAGCAGGTCACACAAATGTGTTGCTGTTAGTAGGACTGGAAATAAGAGCTTTACAGCTGCCCAAGTAAGGTTGTGAGAGTGGAAATCGGAAAAAGGCTCCTGTACTTTTAATGGTTGTCTAGAAGAGGACATTTCAACAGGTGTTAGTTGTTAGCTGGTTGCCAGATAAGTAACACTTGCTGAAATTTCCATTAAAGGTATAGAAGCCCTTTCCAGTTTTCAGTCTAGCAACCCTGCAAGGCAGCCAGTGGAAAGGAGATGATTACTGGTGCATAACTCTTACGTAAGAAAGCAGGGAAATAAGGAGGTGCATTTATTTTGTGAGAAGTGAAAAATCAAGCTGAATAGGGCCCATCTACTGAAATTTCTATAAATAATGAAATAACTGTGATGGGGAAAGTATGGGTATGAATGGCTTTGTGCTGCTTGTCCTTTTTAAGGCTCTTTCCTCTTTCTTTCTTTCTTTCTTTCTTTCTTTCTTTCTTTCTTTCTTTCTTTCTAGTTTTGGTGACTATGGGCCTTTGCAGACTGCTAGAAATAGTGCAAACTGAGTCCACTTTAACTGCCCTAGCTCAGTGCTAGGGAATCATGGGAATTGTATTTTTTTCAGAGACATTGAGTATTCTCTATCAGAGAGCTCTGGTGCCACAATAAACTATAGTTCCCATGATTCCTAACACTGATTCAGGGCACTTAAAGTGAACTCAATTTGCACTATTTCTGGCAGTCTGCAAAGGCCCTATGACACCCACCACGGCTAATTGAGCCATCTCCGAGGCCAGGAAGAGGAGGAGCAGCCACACGCGCGGCGCTCCTTCCTCTCCCTGAGGTCGTCCTCGGAGCTGCTGGCCCTCCGCACGGCCGGCGCTCCGGGGACAACCTCCCGCCGCAGCGACTGGATGCGCTGCGGCGGAAAAGACAAAGAAAGTGCACCCAGCGCTTTTAGGGCGCACTTTCCCTGTCTTGAGGAAGGAGCGCTGATTTAGCGCTCCTTCCAGGGACGCCGCCGGTGCGCCAAGGTGCGGAGGCTGCGGCCCCGCGGCGCGCTGGCCCAGGGCGTCTGGGAAGCTCTCGTCTGCTTCCCCCCGTAGTTTTAACTGCCTTGACAGAACAAAGCTAGAAAGGAATAGATCAAGGAAGCAAGCTGAAAACAGTATCTTATGAACTTAATCCAATAACATCAAGAAACCACCAGTGATACCTTTATATTCAGTATTATCTCCCCTCCCCAAAGGGGGGATCTTTCTTGAGACATAAGGATTACTTAGCTGAAAAATCCAGACCTCCTTTCACTTAGTTTAATTCTGTTTCTTTCAAGAAATTTTAAGTGGTCATTTCCTATGACTAATCTCCTTTGAAAGAGAACAGCTAAACACATCCAGCTGTTTAAAAAAGGAAAAAAGGGACCAATTTGGATATCAAGGAACCAGATCTGCCCTCTCATCTGTAAGTAAAAGTGTGTTTATCAGGAAAAGAGGCTTTAAAAAAAAAAAAAGACTTATGGAGCTGGACACAGCTGAAACCATAACCAAACCTCCCTTCCAAAATAACCCATATTTAAAAAGAGAGTTATCAAAAGCATGTTCTCAAGAGTTCCTTATAATCAACTTGCTTTATACCCTCATGTATAAATGGCCAACGTAAACCAGGCGAAATGATTTTTTTCCTATCAAAATCTTGTGTATTCAACAAATGGCTAGAGATGAAACGGAGAAGAGCAGGATATGTTTTAAGTGATAAATTAAACCCACCTCATTAACTATTTTGTCATTTTCCCCTTTTGTCTTTGATATACAGTTTATGAAATTCTGAGAATGAAGAGTTGCACATATGTTTGGCTCAGATGTTAAGAGCAAAATGAAAATAACCCTCCCCCTCCCACCTTTTACTTTCTTGATGTCTCTTGTTTTTTTTCTGTTTCTTTTCTATAATAATAATAATAATAATAAATTTTATTTATATACCGCCCCTCTGTCAAACAATTGGGGTGGCTTACAATAGTTAAAATTCCATACAATATGTTAAAATACTATCCAAAAAACCCAAACCCTCCCTAATAATAATAATAATAACAAATTTTATTTGTAACCCGCCCCTCTGCA